CCTATCCCCTGTGTGCCTTGCCTCCCACGACTCAGATTTATTGAAGAAATCCCTAAAATCTATTGTTTATTTGTCGAAATTGGTTGCATTTCATTTGTCATTGACAATTGAAAGAATGGATTGCTCATGGCTTAAGATGTATTGATTTTTTTTTAATTAATTTGTTATGGAGATTGTCATTTTCTCTCTATTGTTATTTTAGGGCTTGAATGTTATTGGTGGCAATAATTTTGAGTTATTTTTATTGTATGTGTTTTATGTTGATCTTGTAAATGATGATCCATACTCTTTCTTTTGTTAAAATTCAGTAGCAGTTCTTTTAACAAAAATCTTTCTTAAATTTTACCTAGCTCGTGTTACAATATAATTTGTCATTAAAAAGCAATAAGCCTAGCTCTTTTTAAAATTTAATAGTAGCTTTTTTTTTTCGAAAATCTAACTTGAGCCTACCAAAAGTTCAAGGCCAGTATTAAGACGTTGTATATGAAATGTATGGAGTAAGTTATTACAAATGTTGTAGAGGACAAAAGAAAATGGGTGATAGCAGATTAATTTGTTGCATTTTCGGTGGAGAACTCCGATCAAGTGTCGATGGGACTTTAGATTATACTGATGGTGATGCATTTACCCTTTTGACTGACTGTAAAACTAGTTTAGATAACATGCGAAAATACGTAGCAAACCGTTTCTCACTTGACATGCACTTAATAACTATTGTCATTTCTTATTGAACTTCATTTCAGGAAAATAAAAATTTTCGTATTAATGAATCAACTAAGACCCTAGGAAAATGGGAGCTAGATCCATGACAGGTAGCTTTGGTTGAAAAGACCAAATTGAGCTCCTTGATAGACATTGGGGTCTCCCATGTCGATTACAGTCTACTGAGGGCCTTTATATGGAAATGATGCAAGGTGACAAATACCACACGTTTAACTATTGGTGAGATGACTCCAAACCTGTACGGTGTGCGACATATATTAAGGATACTTGTGACAGACGAGCCTGTAACAGCCATCAGACCTAAAGACTATATGGGCTTTCATCATGGAGCATTTGAGAGATTGCCCTAAAGGTGATAAGTTGAGTCGTCTTAAACATACTTGACTAAGGAGGAAATTCGGGCAACTACCAAAAAAGCTTACCAAATTAAAACTGCTTCAACACACTCGAGCTTATCTCCTTTATTTAGTTGGCACAACTATATTTGCCGACTCATCTCAAGAATTGACGCTTACAAGTTACCTGCAACCGTTTCGAGATCTTGATGAGACAGAATAGTATGCATGGGGTGCAGTAGCGCTTGCCTTCTTATATCGTTCCTTATCTAAGGTCGTGGACAGGGAAACTCATTTTAGTGGGTTAGCAACACTACTACAGGTAATTTTCACTATTTTTATAGTCAATATTTAGATATTTACAATTTCATTGGCTTCAAACTAATTGCTTCTAGCTATTTTTTGTGCAGTGTTGGGTCTATGACAATTTTCCAACTCTAGGCACCAAGCCTACAGCTATCACCCTATAAATGCCTAGAGCTTGCAAGCGGAAGAAACAACCAGCATTTGATGACATCTCAATTGACATGGTTAGTGATTTGCTTGTGTGATTATGAATTTGTAGGTAATCTATCAAATGCAAATACAGACATGGTTAATGGTTTGCTTGTGTACCTATATAATTGTAGGTAATATATCTAAGGCAAATACAAATAAGTGATTATTGTGTTATGTTTTTGTTGTAGGTGACTTGGTAACCATATGAGAAGTACAGCCCATTAGATACACTTAGTAAAGAAAACGTGCTGTGCTAATCATATTTGATAAGTTTCCACATTGCAGAGTACTATATGCCTGATCGTGTGCTGCGATAATTTGAGAAGATGCAAGAGATTCCTGTTGGAGTGGGATAGGAGGGAGAATGCTGGTATACACCCCACAAGTTGGATTGACGAGTTGAGTAGCGAGATAAGCGACTAGCGGCAACGAAAACGCAATGTTGTCAAGGGGCCGTTGATAAATATGATTGAATACCTACAAAAGAGTATATGGCTTGGTACAGCATGTTCACCTATAGATATAGAAATACCCCCACGTGCCCCACTTCGCATGTCATGATGACGACAGGAGATTGGTATCTTATTTAATTTATGTATTTTAGTTTTTATTGACTTAATATGTATTCAAACTAATTATCTATTTTGTTTTTTATTGTCTATTTGCAGTGATTAACATGTATAGGAATGCTACAAGCTGCACTTAGTGATGAAGTATTAGCAGGGGAATCCAGACATCATGTATAGGTAACCCTTGATTTGCTATTGCAGAACACTCCTATAGAGACAAGTGTCGAGGAGATGGCGGAAGCGAGAGCGAGGAGAGAGATGGTGGAGATGCTGAAAGCGAAAGCGAGAAAGGAGATAGTGGAGATGAGGAAAGCGAGACTGAGGAGGGAGATGGTGGAGATGAGGAAAGAGAAAGCGAGACCGATGATGAAAATGAGAAGAGAATAAAGAGCAAAAATGACTAGAGCAAAAACCACCAAATTGAAGTTGTGCTAGCCTTGCATAAGGAATCAAGGTGGAATTTACGATCGTGGAGGGAGATGTCCATGAGGAAAGGATTAAGGAGGAACCCGATGTAAAGGGAAAGGGTAATGCAAGCTGGCCATAAAAAATGGCTGAGGCGAAAAAAGTGAAAAATATGTATTTTCCAATTTGACATGCATTTTTGAGATGATACCTGAATATGTAATTTGAAAAGTGACTAATGCAAGTTGCAAAGGCTATGAACTTTTTTTTGAGATGAAAAATTGTAATTTGAAAAGTGATCAATGCAAGTTGCAAAGGCAATGAACCTTTATTTGAGATGTATTTTTCAGTTGATATGTTTTTTTAAGTTTGATATGTATGTTTGAAAGAGATGTTTAGTAGTGAGTTTCAAAGAGTGAAATGTCCGTTCTTTTTATACAATTTAAACTACTCTATCTTTGCAGCCAGCTAATGAAACATCCATTCTTTTTGTTATCATTATGTAGTATGGAAGCAAAATCTAATAGCAATATCCTTTTAAAAGAAATCTGCAAAATAAAGGATCATAAAATGAAAAGAACAAAGTGGAAGGAGTTTTATCCGGTGAAGCATATAACAATTGTTTCAGAAAAGCTACGATAAGAAGTATGAGCCTTATTAACATCTAATCCCTTTAAAATTCATTAGCTAAAAAGCAAGGGCAGTCCGGCAATCACAGAGGGCGATCAGGCACTTCAAGAACCCAGTTCGGCACTTCCAGATCGCAGTCTTCACCATGGCGGTCCAGCACTTCACCAGGCAAAAAGTTACTGAATTTAAGGTGCAGTACGGTACTTCCAAGAGGCAGTCCGACACATATGTCACTGGAATTGGAACGGTCTGGCACTTCATCATGAAAGTCCGGCACAAATCTTACTGAAAGAAGGGGCAATCCGGCATTTCGAAGACACGCTCCGTCATTTACAAGTGGCAGTTCGGCAGTATGTTTTACTGGAGTAGGCGGTCCTGCATTTACAGGCGGTAGTCTGACAGTATGTTTTACTAGAGTAGACGGTCCGACATTTACAGGTGGCGGTCAGACATTATGTTTTACTGGAGTAGGCGTTCCGACAATTACAGGTGATGGTCCAGCAGTATGTTTTACTGGATTATAGGCGGTTCGGAGGTTTAAAGTAGAGGTCCGGTGCTTAGGTCACTGGAGTGGGCGGTCCGGCATTTGAAGAGGCGGTCCAGTGCTTATGTTACTGGCATGGGCAGTTCGGCATTTCATAGTGGCGATCTGAGGCTTATGTTACTGGAGTAATGAGCAGTCTGGCGTTTTGAAGTGGCGGTCTGACGCCTATGATACTGGAGTAATAGGCGGTCCGGTGTTTTACAAGTGCGGTCCTGCATGTATATATTTCTGGATTAATGAGCAGTCTGGCATTTAGGAGCTATGGTTTGGCACAATTGTGTTTGGAATAAGCGGTCCGGCAGTGTACAGTTTCGATCCTGTAGAATGGATGGGTCCGGCAATATACAACCACGGTCCGATGTTTCTTTTTATTGGGATCCGAAAATGATTTGTTATGTTCGGGAAGGGTATTTTCATCAAAAAAATGAACTTTTTGCATTGGGGGGATATTTGCTGTAAAACTTGGTTTTGGGGAAAAATATGCTAAGAAAAGTTACGGTGAGGGTAAATTGCCTAGAAAGTCTACTTTTGGGGGTTTTATGCAAGTTTTCCTATTTTGATTGCTTTGTTCGTTCTAGTTTCTTATTTTTGTAATTTAGCTCAGGCTACTTGAGTGGATTAAATTATTAAAATGGTTTTAGTTATTCTACATTCCCAATCTTAAGTAGGATTTATTTGAGACTGTTAGAGAGTTGGAAAATTACATGTGTGTTAGTTATTTTAACCGTTATTACAATTTTATCTAAAATTTTCACATATTACATTCAATTTTTTGGATATTACATGTATACCTGTTCTTAGGAGCCCCGAATTTTTTTTTTCAAAATTGCCCTATTGTAAGATCTTTAGGATCTGAAATAAAAAAAAGAATTAGAAAGTTCAAGGTCCAAAATTGCCTAATTTTTTATCTTTAGGATCCGAAGTAATAATAATAATAATAATAATAAAATCAGACTATCAGAGTCTGAAATCTCCCATTTTTGGATCTTTAGTATCCAAAAGAAAAAACACTTCGGACCTTCACTATCCGTAAGTGATTTCAGACCTTAAAGGTCCGAAATGGTGTATAGACAATTTTGAAAAGAGCAAACGTTAAGTTTTCAAATTTTTTACGAGAGTAAAATATTTGTAGAATGATTTTACACATTGTATTAGTTGAACTTCATTTGTTGAATTTTTATTTCGAAAATAGAAAATCAAAAACCGAAATTCTAGTATTTCTTATAATTTGTGGATTTTAAAATTTTGAAAAATTCAATCATATTTACCTCGTGCAAACATAAATTTCAGATCTTAAAAATTCAAAAAGTGCAATTTGGTCATTTTTAAAAATATTGACAAAATGTTGTAATAATAGATATAAAATGGGTAGAGTAGTAATAACATAAATTTTTCGATAGAACTTTAATAACGCTTAAAATAATGAATAAATGTGTAACATATAAAAAGTTTTTTTTTTTTGGATAATTCAATGGGAAAAGACAAGTCCCTACCAATTTTTTCATATAGATTAAAGATAGCTTTTTTTTTTAAATACAGTGGGTGGTGTCAGCAAGTTTGAAAACCAACAATATAGTAACTAGGGGGGGCTGCAACTGTGACCCTGCCCCTTTCTTGACTCATCAAAGGTCAAAGCGATGAGATATGACACAGATTTTACGTGATATTTAATGCATTCAAAGCGATGAGAGATGACACTTTGAGCTTTTACGACATAATTTAACGCATTCAATCATATATTTTCCAAAAAAGTCTCACACTTTGAGCGCCGTATTATACATTCAACCGGCTACTTGCCCGCTGCACCACTCGCTCTCTCTCTACACCCGAAGTCTTGACTATGCACCCTCTCTCTCTCTCTCTACCCCCAAATTCTTGATTGAGTTAGTTTCCTCTAAAACTCTCCGTCACTCCAGCCCACCAAATTACTTTCAACAACAGGCATGGATCAAACACAACACAATCAACTCAAGTGAACTCAACCACCACATAGCACAGATTGGAACTGGTAACTCTCTCTCTCTCTCAAGGTAGATTGGAACTAATAATCATTTCTTTATTCAACTGGCTCTCTCTCTCATGGTGCATTGGAACTGGTTATTATCTCTCTCTCTACTCATCTCACTTGCTCTATGTCATGGTGGAGATCAAACTCTAACATGGCCGGCTGTGATCTTCCTGCATGGTTTCCCTGAGATATGGTATTCATAGGGCCATCAAATGGTGGCCTTAGCAATTGCAGGTTTCCATGCCATTGCCCCGACTGCCGAGGCTATGGCCTCTCTGATCAACCACCCCACCTCGAGAAGGCGACATACATGGACCTCATTGTAGATGTCCTTGCCATTCTCGATCTCCTTCATATACCATAGGAACCACCTTTAGTTTCTAGCTTCAGGATTAATCCCCTCTTTTCTAATAGTCCCAATTAAAATAATACTAAATAAATAAAATTGAAATCGATAAACAACTTACTCTGATCTGTCCTTAAATCACACGAGAGACTTGAGGTTCCATACCAAAACCTATAGACCAAGCCATCTGGTGACAGGCTGCCTTGAAAGTCCTCTTGGTGAATCTCCTTCACCTTCCATCTCTATTTTTCTATCATTTTTCTCTCGTTTTTCTAGAGGGGTTAACCTCCTTTTATAGATAACACATTTATTTTGTAACTCCCACATTCATGGTCTATAGGAGTTGAGATCCAATTATAACTCTTGCCTTAATTCCCTTAAATGCAGCTAATTAAGAATAACAAGTTGTTACCAAATTGTTAATCTTATGTAATGAGCTAAACTTGTCATTAGTCTACTAATGACTCATATAATAGGATGTCATCCAAGCATTCCCACAATTTACAAGGAATCCAAACACACCACTGGGTTTTCCCTCTAGTAATATATCCTATTAAAGCTGAAAAATGGATCCATGTACATGGCATTGCCTCATGTTAACTACATGGAATTTCACATATACTTCACTATGGCTTATGTACCATTATTGAAAAAATAAATTTTCGAGAGAAAAGCGCCTGATAGGCCACATTTCTAACAACTCCCACTTGGCCTAAAAGCCCTTTTAACATCGTGTACATCACATTACCTCATGCTTTCCGCATGGGATTTTCATATATACCCTGCCAATGTGATCATACACCACACTTAGATTTCCTGGCCTCAACAACCTTGTATATGGCATTGCCTCATGCTACTTGCATGAGATTTCACATATACCTTGTCAATGTAGTCATACAACACACTTAGATTTTTTGGCCTTAACAACCTTGTATATGGCAATGCCTCACACTACTTACATGGAATTTTTCATATACCTTACCAATTATTCACCAACATGTTGGATTTTATTTACATATTTATCTTTTAGCCAAGAGAAAAAAAAAAGCCTATTGCTTCTGCATGTTTCTCAAACATGTCATCCACCACTGGTCTTTAAGTCCAAAACACAGATTCGGATCATAGGTTAATAATAATTTGACAAAGCTTTAGGTGGTGGAGGTTCAAATCCTCTTCAAGGCATTGAGAATGCTCATTGAATGAGGAATTCAATGACTTTCTTAATGTGCATTGATCACCATCGAGATAACAAATTCAATTCTAATTTGGTAAATGATGAATTACTCCCACTATCTAATGAACAGCTATAACCAATATGATAATTCAATGTAACATGATACATCATTAAATATTTTTAATGTCATTTGGACATACACAAAACATGATAAGATGTCAATGAAAATTACATCTCATTGAAAAATAATAACTCAGCTTCACATCCTCATGGATACAAATTTAGTTTTCTAAATAAACGAAAAAATACTAAGCAAAAAAAATACCGAAAAGTAAGTCACAACTTGGTTAATAATAAACAACATTATCAATCTCAACAAAATATTCTTGATGCTTGTAGAAAGAAAGGGGAATAAAAATCTTAGCGCAAATATACTTATATTGTTGAACTTGAAATATTCATAATCATTGATCACCATGAAAATTTTCAAATCAAGTATCGCTTTAAATAAAATTGATAACCAATATTTGTCTCATCATAATATGTATAATTGCTAGAGGGCCAAATTGGAAATAAATAGGACTATCTTTCAACCCTTTTCTATAATTTTGTTTTTTTAAATAATGAAGAGTGAGAGATAGAGACATGTGTATCCTTGGGTAGAGAGAGAGAAACTAACGTAAATTTCAAAATAGGACTGCACATTGATTTGCATTCATTTCATGCTATTAAGATAAACTAGAATGTCAATAAATTTCTAATTTAAGACAAAAAAGAACTTACCACAAAAGCTTTGTAATTGAAACCTACCAAATTCTAATTTAAGGCAAAAACGAACTTACCACAAAAGCTTTGTAATTGAAACCTACCAAATTCTAATTTAAGGCAATAAAGAACTTATCACAAATGCTTTACCATGGAAACCTACTAAATACTTTTCATATTCAAACTTGCCAAAATAAAAATTTTGTATTTGGAGCTTACCAATTATTTTGAAACACTTCCTAATATTGGCCATGGTCCTTAGAGGACAAAACTTTTTACAAATGAAGACTTTAGTGCAGTTAGAAGGAAGTCTATCAAGAAACTCATGGAAGTTCTTTTTATTTTGGATGTTGCAGACATGGATAGCTCCTATGCTCATACCCAAAACTCAAAAAAAAGAAGAAAAACCC